TTTTGATGGGGTTGTTTGTTTTTTTCTTGTAAATTTGTTTGAGTTCTTTGTAGGTTCTGGATATTAGCCCTTTGTCAGATGGATTAGAGACTTAAATGTTAGACCTAATACCATAAAAACCCTAGAGGAAAACCTAGGTAGTACCATTCAGGACATAGGCATGGGCAAAGACTTCACGCCTAAAACACCAAAAGCAACGGCAGCAAAAGCCGAAATTGACAAATGGGATCTCATTAAACTAAAGAGCTTCTGCACAGCAAAAGGAACTACCATCAGAGTGAACAGGCAACCTACAGAATGGGAGAAAATTTTTGCAATCTACTCGCCTACACCTTTTTTGAATTGCAGACTTCTAAGCACAGAATGCAGCTTAGTTAAGTACTTGGAATCAAAACTTTTTTGGAGCAAGCTTAACTTGAAATTCAGTAGTAATTACGTGTGTGTGTGTGTGTGTATTATATACATAATTTAAAATATATTGCTTGCTATCTTATCTAACAGTTTTCTTAAGATATGGCCACTGGAATTTTACATTACTAAATCTTACGGTTTTCTTCACAAAGCTGAATAATTTTATTCGTTCTTCTGGCAACTTTTGTAATTTGCATTTTCGATCATTCAGTTTTTCAAGGTCTTCATTAAGATGCCTCTGAAGAGTTTTTATACGCATATTGTAATACATCATTTTTTTCATTGCTGTGGTCTAAAAGTAAGAAAGAAAACAACATAAAAATTAGCTAAAACAAATTATAGGCAATTATTTGTGATATTATATAAGCACAGTATGTTCTATATGACAATTTAGATGATTTGCATGCTCAGGAACTAATAAAGATGATAGCTGGAGTGACAATGGCTACACAGAGTTCTATATTTAAACTTAATAAAAAATATAAAATTCCAAAGATTTTCTTTGTGAGGCATAAAGTGTGAGGCAAATTCACATTTATTTCCAGAATAACAACATAAAGAGACTACAGATAAAATGTAATGTATAAAATAGTACAGGTAATGAGGCAGTACAATTAGAGCAAACATATAACTCGTTATTCCTATTTGATTAACTCAGGGAATAAAAGAAATTAATAAGAATTAAAAGCAAATATTACATTACTCAATTCATTTTTTAAAAGCATGGCTAAGGAATATAATTTTTTTTCAAATTTATAAAAGAATGTTCATTAGGCTAAGCAAATTACTAAATGTCTATCAAATCCATTTATCTTGCATTCCTTAATAACAATGCATCATTCAGTTATTAATAAATTTATCATGATAAATTGATTAAATCCATAATTAAGAAATGCACCAGCTAAATGGTACTTGAGAGTTATGTTAGTTAAAAAGAACTATCTGAGAAGACCATAAACAAATTTGAGGCATTATAAAAAATCTGACATGGTTTTGTTTACCTGAAATAATGAAAGCAAATAAGTTGGAAGACTTTTACACTCTTAGACATGTATTTTCTACAGATGCAGCCTTTTCTTATGAAATTTAGTATGGAGTGGATAATTAAGATCCTAATGTAATATTCTGGCATAAAAGGCAGAATAGAAACAAATACATAGTATGATGAGAGGCCAAAAGAATTCTATTTCCCCATGCATATTATGAAGTACTGCAACTGAAATCACCAAATTCCCCTGCCAAAAATAAGACAATCATAACAAAGAACAGTCAAGAAAAAAATTTGTTTTAGGATCATGATAAACTGATTAAATATCTTTTATAAATAAAAGCTTAATTTCTGAAGTGCAATTGAGTTAAAAGAAAAAATTGTAACTTAAGAAATGGGAAATGGTGTTTCTTGATTTTTTTTTTCCTATTTGGAGACAATAGGAAATCCAATACAAAATTCTGTGGGTCAGTTACAGCTAAAAATAACTCTAATAAATTCTTAAATCTAAAACAATAGGATATCTACATACAGAAGAATGAAACTAGACCCCTATCTCTCAACATATACAAAAATCAACTCAAAAAATGGACTTAAATGTAAAACTTGAAACCATAAAACTACTAGAAGAAAAAAGAGAAAATGTTTCAGGACATTGATCTAGGCAAGGATTTTATGACTAATACTTCAAAAGCATGGGCAACAAAAACATAAATAGACAAATGGTACTACATTAAACTAAAAAGCTTCTGCACAGCAAAAGGAAACAATTAATAGAGTGAAGAGACAAACTATGGAAGGGAGAAAATATTTGCAAACTACTCATCCAATAAGGATCTCATATCCAGAATATACAAGGAACTCAAACAACTGAACAGCAAAACAAAAAACAAAAAAACCCAAACACATACACACACAAAAGAAACACACACACACACACACACACACACACACACAAATAATCCAACCAGAAGGTGGGCAAAGGAACTGCATAGACATTTCTCAAAAGATATCATACAAATAGCCACTAGGTATATGAAAAAATGCTCATCACTAACTAACCATCATGGAAATGCAAATAAAAATCACAATATAATCTCATCCAGTTGGAATGGCTATTATCAAAAAGACAGAAAAAAAAAAAAAAAAGAGATGCTGGTGAGGATGCAGAGCAAAGGGAACTCTTTTTTTTTTTTTGAGATGGAGTCTCACTCTGTCGCTCAGGCTGAAGTGCAGTGGCGCAATATCGGCTCACTGCAACCTCTGCCTTGTGGGTTCAAGCAATTCTCCTGCCTCAGCCTCCCGAGTAGCTGGGATTAGAGGCACCTGCCACCACACCCGGCTAATGTGTATTGTATTTTTAGTAGAGATGGGGTTTCACCATGTTGGCCGGGCTGGTTGCAAACTGCTGACCTCAAGTGATCCGCTCACCTGGGCCCAAAAAAGGGAACTCTTATATGCTGTTAGTAGAAATGTAAATTAGTACAGCCATTATGAAAAACAGGATGGAGTTTTCTCAAAAAATTAAAAGCAGAACTTCCAAAGGATTCAGCAACCTCACTCCTGGGTATTTATCCAAAACAAAGGAAATCAGTGTATCCAAGGGATACCTGCACCCCTACGTTTACTGCAGCACTATTCACAATAGCTAAGATTTAGAATTAACCTAAATGCCATCAATAGGTGAATGGATACAGAAAATGTAATATATGTATATCATATTACACACACACACGTGTATACACATAATGGAATACTATTTAACTGTAAAAAAGAATGAAACCCTGTCATTTGTGGCAATATGGTTGAGCCTGAAGGACATTATGTTAAGCGAAATAAGTCAGGCACAGAAAAATAAAGACTGCATGTTATCACTTATGTATGAGAACTAAAAACATTTTTTGAGCTCATGGAAGTAGAGAGCAGAATTGTAGCTATTGGAGGCTGTAGGCGAGGTAGTCGGGAGGAGAGAATGGGGAGAAAGGTTGGTTAAGGGTACAAAATTACAGCTAGATAGGAAGAATAAATTCTGGTGTTCTGTAGCACTGCAGGGTGAATATGGTTAACTATAATGTGTATATTTTCAAAAATCTGGAAGAAGGGATTTTGAATGTTCACAACAGAAAGAATAAATGTTTGAGGAGATGAATATGCTAATTACCCTTATTTGATCATTATATATAGAATTATTATGCATCAATTGTAAATAAAAGGGAGAAAATAACATAACAAGAGAACATGGGATGGAGTTAATTTGGTCAGATAAAATACAGGATGCCAAATTAAATGTGAATTTCAGATAAACAACAAATAATGTTTTAATATACATAATACTAAACTTACTTATACTTATTTAATTATACTAAAACATCTTTATTGTTTATCTAAAATTTAAATTTAACTTAGAATCCCCTAGGTGGGGTAAATAAAAGATTAAAACATACTAGTTTTATTTTAATTTTTTTGAATAAGCAATATATTCACATTTCAAAAACCAAAAAAATTGATTTATACAATGAAAAGTCTACTTCCCACTTATGTTTCCCATCTTCTCAGTTGCCCCATCTTCTGCAGAAAATGACTGACTTTAGTGTCTAGTAAATCTTACCATAGTTTCAACTTTTTCTAATTTATTAAGAATGTACCTATATCTTCATATAGAAACAAAAATTATGATATTTTACTATTTCTAAACTTTTTCAAAATCACTTAGTATGTCACAACAATAAACAAGAGTTGTCAATGAATGGGGTTTTTTTTGTCCTTGTTTGAGAGTATTTAGTAAGATTTTGGAGAAGGAGGGAAGACTGTTTTATAAACTGTAACTCTATAGCCAATCAACTTTGTAGGCTGACCACATGCAACTTGCTTTTTGTATTCGGACTTTAAAAAATTAATGTCAAAGTCACTTTCAAAGACTTTGGTAGAATTCCACACCTATCAAAACAAACTTTTAAGAAAAAGAAATTGGACTAGTTATAATGCTAAATTCAGCTGCATGTTTGTACTAAGACAAAATTTGATCCCTTTGCATCTTAGGTGGCCAAAAAAGAATTCAAAGTCATAAACAGAATTATATTCAACTATAGTTTCATAGCACTTATTTTTATACTACTTAACAATTAAAATGGGCTTTTGTGTACATTAACTCATTGGCTCCCCCAAACAACCCTGTGCTGAAAAGCAGATACTATTTTCATCATCTTCGTTTCAGTTCAGAAAACTGAGCTTCAGTAGTAGCACATGCAGTTGGGGGCTTGAATCCAAGTCTTCAGATTTGAACCCATATGTTCTTCCCTCTGTCTCACACTAACTCTTTGGTGGTCTTCCTGGTAGGTTCTGACTTTACCTGCCACTTGTAGTTTACACAAACTAGGTCACAGTCATAGGTGAAAATCTGAAGAATCAATAGCACTCTGTTCAAGAATTCATCACAAAGAACTGCCACAACTTGTCTTCTTATGCATAGTAAGGAAAAAAGCATTTTAGAAATCTATATCAATCCATAAATTGAAAATACTTTGAATTTGAAAATCATTTTGGTCTGAATCTAAAGTTGGACTATAGTATATATCTTATTTGTGCCTTAAAAGGTAAAGGGAGGGTAAATATTTTACAATAAGGAAATGAAATATTATTACTTAATTTAAGATGTTAGAAACTGTCTAACAATTCCTTTTTTTGTTGTTCTTTATGCTACTCCTGACATTTACAAGACTGAACCAAATGTATGAGAATCTCAGTCAGAATGTCAGAAGAACCTGCCTCTCTTAGTTCTCCTTTTCAGTCTCCTCTGTAGGTTCCTTCTCATCTACCCAACATTTAGCACCCAAGTGACACACTTTCTCTTCCACACCATTCCCTTGGTGACTCATCCAGTCCACAGCTTTAAGTACCAACTTTCTGCTTTCAGTTCTCATATTTTAATTTATACCCCCAATCTGGGGAACTCTCCCACATAGTAGACTCATGGATATCCAACTACTTACTGAGCATGTCCCCTTAGGATATTCAAAAAATTGTTCAAACTTTACATGCCTAAAATTATCATGATCCTAAAATAATGATTTTTCCTTCTAAACCTACTCCTCCCCTACTCCTCCCATACTCTTCCTCATGTCGTCAAATAGCAACTTACTCTTTGAATTGCTCCAGTCAATATCTTGGAATTATTCTCTACTTCTTTCCTCTGTACTTAATATCCAGTCCATCAGTAAACCCAGATAGGTTCCATCTTGTAACTGCTACCAGAATCCAACTTCTTACCACTTTCTCTGTGAACACCATGCATTGAACCATCCACATTGCTCATCTAAGTTACTGGAATAATCTCCTAACTGGTCTCTCTGCTTTCAACTTTCCCCCTCTAATTGTCTATTCTTAATACATTATTCAAAAGGATCCCTTTAAACCATAAGTCATCTTAGTCCCACCTCTGATCAGAATTTTCCAGTGGATCCCATCTCACTCAAAATAAAGACCAAAGTCCTTACAACAGTCTACAGTCTCACATAATCTGGCCTCCACCACTCCTGTCTTCATCTGTTACTTCTCTTCCCCTGATGTCCTCAGCTACTTAAACTTTCAGATAATCACAAACCATCTTTAATTAGATTAAAATCTACCTAATCCTTGGTCGACTACCATAAACCATAGATATTTTCTAATTTTGATATGTAATATTCCAAACGAGAAGTGGTTGTTACATTTCTGTTATTTAAGCTTTAATTTATATATACATGGCACTAGTCTAATTATTTTTGACACTTATTTTTTTCAATTTCCTTCTTGTTTTGTACAGATTAGAAGCAATATTACTTCATTATTTCACCTTCCAGTACTGTCATCAAAATTAAGATTCTAGTATTAATATTATTATTTATATACTTTTATGTGTAATATCCAGTTCACTAGGGCAAAAGTAGACTTGGCAACAAGAACTGAACTGATAATCCTACCTACCATATGTGGACATGGCCAGAAAGAAGCCTAACTAATTAACTAATAAAACAGAAATCACAGATGCCTTATTAGGGATGTACTTACATCTGCCAGTTCCTTGATTTGCTTTGCTGACACATCCAATGTGTCAAATCTTTGAAGGCAAGGCAAATGATATAATACATGTGTGGAATAATTACACAGAAGACAAACTGGATTGGTTTTATATTGAGGATCATTCAGACATAAATCCTTTAAGCAAGGCAGCCTGGTTAAGTTCGTGAGCTCCTAAAACACCAGCAAAGATAATGTTCAATTAATTGTGACTGTCATTTCTAAAGGCAGTATTTGAACACTTAAGATCAGCCATACTCTAATGCATTCTAATTATGTGCTTAAATACATTAAAGTGATTTAGATGCCTAAAATGTTTCTCTCTATTGAAAAACAAGCTAAATTCCCGAAGAAAATAGCAACAATAATTAAGCAATACGCTATACCACTATGCCTTTTAAATATTTACTAAATCATGTATTCCAGCTGGAACATTGAAGCCAGTGATGCGAGCACATTTGTTCATTAATATGTTGCCTCCCCTACACGGCCCCTCTTGCTAATTGCCCCCAGGATACCTGTAGGTCTCTGCTTTCTTCATTCCTATTTCCTACACTTATCACCTAGAAACACTCCTGTTCATCCTCCCTGCTTCCAGATCTGCTCTACTCATTAAAGGCTATGGGATCCCCTGTTCATTACAAACAATCATCATGGAATTCCTGATTTTTGGTTTTTTTTTTTGTTTTTTTTTTTCCATTAAGTACCTGTTTTACCTATTATGGTCAACTAAAGTCTAACTTTCCTTGAGGGCCTCAGTTCTCTCACAACCTATGGATGAGGAAGGATTGATATGCACTCTCAGACCAATGTTTCTCCTTAACATATTTTTTCCTGATGTTTAAGTCATTATTTATACTTTCCTTTATTTGTCATCTGGCTCCTGATTAACTCTTCCATCCTGCCTCTTCCTGTTTAAACCCTAATATTTTATGATTTAGTCATATTGAACCAGTTGAAGTTTTGGAATGTGCCAAGCCCTATCTTGTCCTTAGACCTTTACTCATGCTGCTCCTTTTGAGTGGCCTGACTTCACCCCAGTTTCACCTTTTAATCTGTCAGGGCCCAACCCAGTGTCATATTCCCTGGGAGCCTTGTTTCATCCCCCAATGTTGGGATAGATGTTCCTCCTAAGAGCTCTTTTAGCTACTGAGCTTAGTTTTGGTATGGACTTTATCATACCCTATTGCCAATTGCTTGTATCTATAAGCCAAGGGTCTATATGGGCTTTGGCCCCCAATCTGCAAAAAAAGAATGTTATTTACATTTTTAAGTATTGAAAAAAAAGAAGAATATGCAGTAGAGGCCACATGTGGCCCACAGAGCCTGAAATACTTTCTATTTGGCTTTTTTTTGTTGTCATTACAGAAAACGTTTGCTAACCCTGCAATAAACTTGTGGAGAACACGGTTTGTGTCTTGTTTAACATTGTATTCCCAACACTCAGCACTCAGAACACAGCAGGCACTAAATAAATATGTAAAGTAAATTGATTACTTTCAACCAACTTTGAGGATATCCTCATACTTTCTCATTACCAGGATGGTGCCTGAGGTAGGAGGGTACTGTGGTGGGGTCAAACGTGAAAGGATGCAATGCTAGCTAGAAAAATCAGAATCAGGGTTAAGGGAAATCTAAGGAAGAACCAGGGAGCATTAGTTCTAAAAAGGAATGGAAAAGAGAACAGTGAAGTCAGGTTGCTGGAAACAAGAGTAATACAGGTTGAGGTGGTTAATATATTTCCAAACTCTCTCTGGACAAGTGAGAATGTGGCTCACTGGTCTGACCTGAGGCTTGGGCTGAGCCTATGTGGGGAGGAGGACTAAGCAGAGTTGCTCTAAAAGGAAAACTTATGGACAGAGCTGTGCAGAGAATTATTTGGTCAAATTCTGCAGGGGCAAGAAGGTAAACCATTTGGCAGCCTTTGATTACTGGGTTGCTATGTTTCATTTGACTATGGTAGATGGTGGGTATAAATGAGCTGGTAGATGGTGGGTATAAACTCTGAATTCCTACACAGAAATCCCCCAACTACATGCCAAATTCAGATGACAGTGGAGTCCATGAAGGCACAAAATCTCACTGAAAATTAGTGCTCTGGTGCCTGGTATGGTTGGAAGGTGGGCACAGAATTTATTCAGTCACCACCAGGATAGGATAGTTATCTTCTTAGGGTAGGAGGAAAGGTTAGAGATAAAAATCTAAGATAATAGTGTTCCAGGAACATTTCTAATATGAAGATAGTAAAAGCTCCTGTGAATCAGGTTCAATGTTTTCATGACAGTCATAAAGCCATAAAAAGCCTTTTTAAATATTATGACACACGATGAATTTTTATAATAATCCTGTTATCACCATTTTTAAAATAAAGATACTGAAATACAGCAGGTCAGTGTAATTAAAGTAATGGTAATAAAATAATAAAACAATGGATTATTATCTTATTAATAAAATAATAAGAACAATGGATCTGTTGAGTCCTTACTATGTGCTGGTCACTATTCGGGTACTTTACATTGTTATTTCACCTAAACTTCATGTTCCACTGTATTATGCTGCCTCTTGTGTGAGGCAGAGCTAGACCTGAGAGGTCTTTCTGCCTATGCAGCCACAGCTTATAACCACCACAAGGGTGCTATGGCTAGCCAGGTAAGATAAACTTCCCTATAGTTTCTTGACAGGGCAATGCCTTATTTTCCCAGAATCCTGCACTTATCTTCTTCAGCCTTATGTCATAATTGCTTCCCTTGCTGTGTTCCAGTCACAGAGGATTTCTAGTTCGTAGAATCTGCCATACCCCTTTCAACCACCTTGAGCCTTCACACATGCTTTAACTTTTGCCTGGAAGGGTCTTTGCCTGGGCAACTCCTACTCACGTCTGATATCATTAGCTGCAACATTAGCTCCTCAAGGATGTCTTGTCCTGATATCCCAAACAAGGCTAGGTCTCCCTTTTATATGTTCCCACAGCACTCTGAATTTAACGTTCAAAGCTCTCTCTCTCATCTCTTCTGGAATTTTAGCCTATTTTAAGTATAAAAGCTTTATCCACATTTCACATTATTTTCTTGGAATAGATTCCTAAAAGAGGAATTGATAGATTAAAGGATAGAAGCCTGTTTAAAAGACTTGGTACACATTATCTAAATGCTTTCTAGAAAAGTTCTATCATTTTAAATGATTACCAATGTCATATAAATGCCCATCTTATCCTAATCTTTCTAACTAAGAGTATCATGTTTATCAAATGTTGACTATATAAAATATTATCAATTACAATTATATCTTCTTTTCTTTTTTGAAACCTAGTCTCGCTCTGTTACCCAGGCTGTAGTGCAATGGTGCAATCTCAGCTCACTGCAACCTCCGCCTCCCAGGTTCAAGAGATTCTCCTGCTTCAGCCTCCTGAGTAACTGGGATTACAGGCGCCCACCACCACGCCTGGCTATTTTTTTTTTTTTTTTGGATTTTTAGTAGAAACAAGGTTTCACCATGTTGGCCAGACTGGTCTCAAACTCCTGACCTCAAGTGATCCGCCTGCCTTGGCCTCCCAAAGTGATAGGATTACAGTTATGAGCCACTATGTCCAGTCTTATATCACGTTTTATTTTTCATTTTATTCATTCTTAGTAGGATTGAAAATTATTTTATGAATCTACTAGTCACGTGGAGTTCAATTCTATGAATTATCTGCTCACTTATCCTTTATTCTACTGGGTATCTTAGATTATTTGTTTCTAATTGATTTAAAAGAGCTCTTTTAAAAGTAAGAATTATTTCAAAGATTTTTTTGTCTGTTTGTTTTAATTTTATGATGTGTTTACCAGGCTGAAAATTAGAATTTCCATATAGTAAGTATGATTTAAAGATTTAGTGTAGTATCTTAAACTGGCAGAACTAGAAGGGGAAAGATACACGTGTGCATGTGCGTGCATGCACGCACACACACACACACACACAATCCTGTTATCTATCTTACTGCCTGTCCCTGTCACAACTGTTACCACCCTCTGAGTGTCTCTGGTTTCTATCATGGCTTATTTTCCACGTTTAATCTGATCACCTATCTGATGGCCTCAATGTTGGTAGAGACAATTTGCCATGGCCCTAAGCATTGCTTCACACTCTTGCTTGTTATGCCAAGATTGTAAGGTATTGACTGCTCTTTACCCATTTCTCAGTGTTGTGTGTGCAGATCTTCACCTGGAGGGCCCCACTGGTACTCTAAACTCAACATATCCAGAACCAGACACATTCCCTTCCCCTCACCTCCACAAAACTAGCCATTATTTTTCTGATTTGTATATTTTTTGAGCTTGCTAAGAACTGTAATCACAGATTCATTTTGGACTCTCTAGCTCTTCACATTCTACTAGCTGTGAAACTCTGCAAATTCAACAACCATAATGTCTCTTGCATCTATTTCTTCCTCGTCTTTCCTCCTCCTTCTCTTCTTCTTCTTTTCTTCTTTTTTCTCTTAACACTCCAATTCGTAGTCTCACAATCTCTCATTTAGATTATTCCTGAAATCTCCTGACTGGGTTTTCTTCTTCTAGCTGTTCCAAGTCAATAAACACTAACTCCAGATCACTATCCCTAAAGGACATTTCTGATCATATCACTTTCTTGCTCAAAAATTTTACAGCTCTCTGTTGTCTATAAAATACAGTCTATATTCGAGACCCAATTGACCTTTCTAGTTAACTTCCAATATTGCTATATATACTCTATATTCCAGTCAAATGACAATGCTGCTGTTATTCAAATATACCCCTTGATTTCTCACTTCTCTGTGTTTGTACATGTTGTTTTCCCCTTCTTAGAATGCCCACGCCCTACTACCCAGAAGATCCTCCCACCAATGCTTGTTCAAATTCTGTTGACACTTCAAAGTTCTTATCAAATATTTCCTCTTGAATTTCACTAATAGAATTTTGTTTACATATCTTTTTAAGGGACTTAATCTGCCTCATTCCATAGCTTTTTGGTATTTTTATATTTTTGCCTGAGTAGAATAATGCCTACTTTAATACTTATGAACTCAAAGTTATTTCTATAGTAAATTTACCTTTCTTCAATATTTTCTAGAGGATGTGTTCGAATATGCACCTTCAGTCTTACACTGTCAAAATTATAAATGTCACCTTTTAACCAACATTATATGTGATAAATATTAAGTCCCTTTATTTGGTTGTTTCTCTTTCATTCATGTTCTTGACAAATGTTTATTGAGATTTACTACATGTCCAACACTATGTTAAGGGTTGTGGATATAGCAATGAAGAGAACAGGCAAAGTTCCTGTACTCAGAGAGCTGGTATTCTAGTAAGGGATGTGCCAAGAGGAAAAATAAAACAGTGGCACAGTGATAGCGAGTGCTGCAGGTTGGGGAGGGTTGTGAGGGTTTTCCTATTACACCTAAATTGGGAAGGAAAGGTGTCACTTAGAACATAATATTTTGACAAAGACCTGAAATAAACGAGGAAATGAGCCATGCAGGTATATGAGGAAAGAAAATTCCAGCAAGTGCAAAGGCCCTAAGATTACTGTGTCCTAGGTATATTCAGACTAGTGTGGCTGAAACTGGACAAACGAAGGAGAGAGTGGTAGATGCTGTAGTCAAAGCGACAGGTTGGGGGTGGTGGGGTGGCTAGATTAGGTAGTCTTATGGCCCATTATAAGAAATGTCTTCTACTCGGAAAGAGATGAGAAGCCAAGGGAAGGTTTTAAGCAGCAGGGTGATTTTTATCTGACAGATTTTTAAAGTTTCCATAAGGCTTCTGTGTGGAGAACAGATCTATAGTAGGGAAAGGACAAACAGGAAAATTGTTAGGAAGCTTTTTTCCATTAATGTAGGTTAGAGATCATAGTGTCTTGAATCAGCCTGGTAGTGATGCAGGTGGTAAGGAGTGATCAGACTCTGGACATATTCTGAAGGTGCACCCAATTGTACTTGCTGATGGATAGGATGAGGGTATGAAGGAATAAGAAGAGTCAAAAATGACTATAAGGATTTTGGCTTAAGTTACTGGAAGAATGGAAACTCCATTTAGAGAGGTGAGGAAGACTGCAGGAGAAGGTCTGGTAAAAGAAAAATTAGTTTGCATTAAGATATGTCTACAGTTCTGGAGAGCTGTCAAGGAAAGTAAAGGTACTAGTTTAGAGTAATCAGTACACAAAGGGTATTTAAAGTCTTAAGGCATGATGAGACTATTTAGAGAATACATGCAGACAGAAATGAGAAAAGATGTCAGTACTGACCAAGGGAAGTCCATATCTTACATGCTCGGAGAGGATGAAAGAACAGAAACTGAAGAGATGTAGCCAGAAAGATTGGAAGAAAACTAAGAGAAAATGGTATCCTAAGAGCCAGGTAAATAGTTATTTGTTTGGTTTCAACAGTGTCAGATCATTAAGGCCAATGTGGTCAGATGACTTTCAAATTTCCTGGAGCATCAGCCCAAAATAATGAACTTATTCCTTAATGGGGGACTTTTTAGTACAGTTTCTGCAACACAATGGTTCATGATTCAGGATGATAAATAAAAATTATTCCACTTAAACATACCTTGAAAGAACATACTTGGTTACCAGAAAGGTTTAATCTTTCCAGTTGTTCATTGGAGTCAAGACATCGACCTTTAAAAAATAAGACGAAAAGAATTAAATTTATTATTTTACCTTCTGTTTATATTCTGTCATACTTCTGAGTTGTATGTAGCCATCATTTCTTGCATATAAACAGACCGATGGTACCACTGTATAATTAGTAATCACTGATTAATGAGTAGTATTTTCACAGGTTTCAATATGCTTTGCAAATATATCACAGAAAAAAGCCTAAAAGAAAAAAAAAATCTAAGCATATACTTTTTATATTGATGAAAAATGATTATAGCATTATCTCAGATTCCAAATGAAATAGTACATACCAATGCTATTTATTAGATTTCCAGCAAGGTTGAGATCTTTTAAATTCTTCAAAGTTTGCAAACCCTAAAAATTTAGACAACATACAATTTAGAACAAATAATTAAAATTAACATTTACAAATCATCTCTGATTAATCTGGTTAGTTCTCCAGGTGCTCTGAGCACAGGGTACTTTGTGCATCACAAGCACAGAAGGAAATGAGTGCCTCCAAGAAGCCACCTTTGTTCTCTATACTGGAACTTAGAATTATTGGAGGAGAGAACAGGAAGCGGAGTAGAGAGGAAAAAAAGGAGGAGTAGGAGGAAGAGAATACATCACACAGAGTATATTTATAATCTTAGGCAAGTTATGTAACTTCTCTAAACCTCTTTTTTTTTTAACCTTCAAAGAAAGAATAACAATGCCTTACCTTTTAGGCTTGTAAAGAGTAAAGAAAGTAATGTATACAATATCCTCTGTACCTTATAAAATGCTATATACATGTTAGTTCTTTTTGACAACAATAATTGTACCAGTCATGAATAGTTTGGCCTTTAACTACAATATGATCTTGAACATTGCGGTTTAAACTCTACAGTAGTAATTGGTTTTACATATAGATAATTGAAATTATTATCTTACCTCAATTATTTTAATTGAATTGTGGTTCAGCCAAAGAACCTTCAATTTGATTAATTTCTCTAAATTTTCTATTTTGGAAATTTTATTAAAATATAAATATAGTTTTTCCAAATTTCTACATTCCTGAAGACCTTCAATTTTCTGTAAAAGAAAAGGAGACTGAATAGTGTTAGTTTATGTTTTGCTATTAATCCTTCCAATAAAGTAGGTTTCTAAGTATATTTTCTTTTAAATATCATATTTTATTGCAAAATCAATATCCAGCAAAATGAACTGTTTTAAAAGAAAAAAATATATTCCATGTTTTCCACTTAAATACAACTATTTTCAATTTTGCATGTTCTCTTTAAATTTTAATCAACTCTATATCTATTTATATATGGTTATGATTACAATAATATTTATCATATACAATCATATATTTCTATATTTCTATATGGTTATGATTATAATCATATAAAAATGATTATGATTATATGGTTATGATTATAACCATGTAAGCACATCATAATCCTAATGCACATACAATTTTGTAGGACTCTTTTTAAATTAAGACTAAAATGTTTTCATAATCCTTCAAATTATATTTAATAATTATGGAATATTTCATTAAGTTTATAATTGTCTGAAAAATTACCTGATGTATAGCATATTTATGTTTCAAATTTTTAGTTATAAATAATGCTGCAACAAGTAGCTTCATGCATATGGTTGTTTTCTGCTATTGAGTTACTTTTCTAGGATAAAATCTTAGAGTAGGGACTTCTAAGTCAAAACGTATGCCCCGTACATTTCCATGATGGCTCTTGATGTTTTGCAATATTTCTTTTCAAGATAGATGTTATAATTTCAACACAACCAAGAGTGTCTAAGTGGACCAATTTTATTACTAAGTAATACTGGCTATGATTTGATTTGATTACTAAAAAGTAGAATATGTTTATGTTTTAATTCCTTATTTCTGCTTTTCCTTTGCATAAATCAATTTATTTATTGATTGAACTTTTATTTTAAGTTCAGGGGTGCACGTGCAGGTTTGTTATTTAGGTAAATTTCTGTCATGGGGGTTTGTTGTACAGATTACTTTGTCACCCAGGTATTAAGCATAGTACCCGTTAGTTATTTTTCCTGATCCTTCTCCCACCCTCCACCTTCAGTAGGCCCCAGAGTCTGTTGTTCCCCTCTATGTGTCCATACGTTATCATCATTTAGCTCCCACTTCTAAGTGAGAACAGGTGGTATTTGGTTTTCTGTTCCTGTGTTAGTTTGCTAAGGACAATGGCCTCCAGCTCCACCCATGTTCCTGCAAAAGACATTATCTTATTCTTTTTTATGGCTGCATGGTATTCCATGGTGTATACATAGCACAGTTTCTTTATCCAGTCTACTACTGATGGGCATTTAGGTTGATTCCATGTCTTTGCCAGTGAATACTGCTGTAATGAACATACACGTGCATTTGTGTTTATGACAGAATTGTTTATATTACTTTGGTTATATACCCAGTAATGGAATTGCTGGGTTGAATGGTATTTCTGTTTTTAGGTCTTTGAAGAATCATCACACTGTTTTCCACAATGGTTGAACTAATTTACACTTCTACTAATAGTGTATAAGCATTCCTTTTTCTCCACAACCTTGCCAGCATGTGTTATTTTTTTGACTTTTTAGTAATAGCCATTCTTAGTGTGAGATAGTATCTCACCGTGATTTTGATTTGCATTTCTCTAATGATCAGTTATTTTAAACTTTTTTTCTTATGCTTGTTAGCCACATGTATGTCTTCTTTTGCAAAGTGTCTGTTCATGTCCTTTGCCCACTTTTTAATGGGGTTGTTTGTTTTTTTCTTGTAAATTTGTTTAGGTTCCTTGTAGAGGCTGGGTATTAGACCTTTGTCAGATGCACAGTTTGCAAAAATTTTCTCCCATTCTGTAGATTGTCTGTTTACTCTGTTGATAGTTTCTTTTGCTCTGCAGAAGCTCTTTAGTTTAATTAGATCCCATTTGTCCATTTTTGCTTTTGTTGCAATTGCTTTTGGTGTCAACGTCATGAAATCTTTGCCTGTTCTTACGTCCAGAATGATATTGCCTAGGTGGTGTTCCAGCATTTTTATATTGGGTTTTGCATTTAAGTCCTTAATGCATCTTGAGTTTAATTTTGTATATGGTATAAGGAAGAGGTACAGTTTCAATCTTCTGTATATGGCTATCCAGTTATCCCAGCACCATATATTGAATAGATGATCCTTTCCCCATTGCTTGTTTTTGTCATCTTTGTCAAAGATCAGATAGTTGTAGGTGTGTGGTCTTATTTCTGGGTTCTTTATTCTGTTCCATTGGTCTATGTGTCTGTTTTGTACCAGTAACTTGCTGTTTTGATTTGATTTGCTTTGATTACTAAAAAGGAGAATACGTTTATGTTTTAATTCCTCGTTTTTATTTTTTCCTTTGTACAAATCAATTTCTATCCTTTGCTCATTTATCTGTCTTAACCCATGCCTTATGCATATATTTCAATGAATTATTTTTCTAAAGCCAAAGAATTCAGAATAAAATATTCCGTGTAAGGTTTTATGTTTACACTTACCTCTATGCAGCACTCAGCAATCCAAAGTTCTTTAAGTTGTAAACAAGGCTCTAACCCTGCAATTTCTTTTATATCTTGAGCAACAATGGTAAGACTAGTTAAATTAGGAAATAATGATAATCCGACTATACGAGGATACCCTAAGAAAAACATCTCCAACTTTGATGTATCTGATCCTTCTTGTCCAACCATCTCATAAGATAAGCCATTGCACAAACACTGTTTTAAAGGAAAGAAATTTGGTCATTACCTATTTTAAATAATCAAAAGATTACTTTTACCATTAGAAATTATAAATTGTCAATTGCACTGATGCCATTTTTGTAATCTCACAAGAGAAAGTTATATCACATATATGATTATTCTCTGCTTCCAAAAGTCACTAGGTAGAGGAAATCACTAAGTAACCCTTCCAGCTCTAGAAAGGAGCATAAAAACTTTCCATTTTCTATTACTGCAAATGTTATAAAAAGAAATTTGACTTTGACTCACCAGCTCTTTAATTATTTCTTCTTGGTTTAGGTTTTCACTTTCAATCATCTTCCGTTAAAAATAGTGATCATAACATTATAACTGTTAAGGAAAATGAAAAAATGAAATAAATATTAAAGTCATTGTCATTCAAAGTTGAAATAGACCTTAACGCTACTAAGGTTGAACCACCCAACTGTAGTTTGAAATCTTCACATAGTACATTACTAAGTATCTGTATAAACTCTGAGGGGGTTTTCTGTTAGGATGTTATTTTTTATTTTAATTTTAAATCTCTCTTTCCATAATTCCTTCCCTTTTGTTGTCAGTATACCCCCTTGGTATAAATTTTTTTCCACACAATGAGCCTTCAATACTTGAAGAAAATGCTCATCTCTCATCTACACTCTTACCTTACTCACAGTTGAAGTTGTTAGTTCTCTCACTATATACTCATGTTTCTCTCATTTGAACAGGCTCTGGTTGTCCTTTGTATTACACTGCGTGTCTAAAAGTGAACACAGTTCTCTAAATATACTTAGACTGCAAAGAGAAGAATCCTTAGGGCTTAGCAACATATTTGGCATAGTAATAAATGTTCATTTAAATAAATACTCCAACTTCTCCTTCATTCTAGAGAATATGAACCAATTAATACTCAAGTAGCTTCAATAAAACTTAATCCAACTTTCATAATTTGTAATATTTTCTGAATATTATTCCAGATATATACTATCTAAAAAATATAAGAATCCTGCTTTTAATATAATGACCTGACAAGGAGAGATGTAGAAAATGGTATACAGTATAACCCCTTTCTTTACAATAGCAACTCCCCCATAGGCATGTGTGTATATATGTAAATGCATGTATGTGTATAATTATTGTCAGGAGAAAATATGGAAAGATATATACTAAGTTATTAATATGAGTTTCCTTAGATGCAGGTGAAAGTTGTTGTGACTAGAATATAAATGTAAAGCTGGATGGGGATAGATCCAGGCAAAAATGGAAAAGAAAAAATGATACTTTTTAAAAAGCATGTTTAGAATTGCCTAGTTTGAGTGTATAGACATTTATTATTTCTACCATGGGTACACATTTGGACTGTTTCCAGTTGGGGGTTAAATAGTGCTTCTCTGAACATTTTGTCATACAGGTCATAGCTACAAATTTCTTTGGGATTTCTACCTAAAAGTGGAATGAGAAACAAACAACTATTGTTATTTGCAACATGAGTGAGTTTCACGTAAACAAATGCTGAACAAGAGACACGCAATGAGTAATACTGTATGACTCAATTCATGTAAGATAAACAAACTATAGTATTAGAAGTTAGGATATTGGCTACCTTTCAGGGAAGAGCAACTAAGAGGAGGCAAAAGAGGGGCTTCTAGAGTGCTCATAATGATGTATTTTTTGATCTAGGTGCTGGTTATGTTGAATTTGAAAATAAAGTTAGATACCTAAGATGTGTGTGATTTCTGTATGTATATTATACTTTAATGAAATTCTACCTAAATTTTTATTTTAAAGGCATTTATATGCTCATTTTTATTCATTTATGCAAAATTATGTACATGTGCTGGCATATACATAAACTAAAATGTTAAGAAAAAAAGATGATGATTTGAGTCCGTGTATTGACCTATCTTCCCTCCCCAAATCCCACTAGAATGACTACAGAAATATGAAAACAAGAAAAGAATATAGCAGTGCTACAAAAAGAGCAATGATTGCCAGAAATATTGAGAAAGGTCTTTAAAAATGACACAGACAACATCAGATTGAGAAAAAAAGCCCATCAACACAAACCAGAGTCTGTTCTCACACTGCTAATAAAGACATGCCCAAGGCTGAGTAATTTATAAAGGAAAGAGGTTTAATTGACCCACAGTTTCACATGGCTGGGGAGGCCTCAGGAAACTTATAATTATGGCAGAAGGGGAAGCAAATCATCCTTCTTCACAAGGCAGCAAGAGGCGGGATGAGAGCTGAGTGAAGGGGGAAGCCCCTTGTAGAACCATGAGATCTTGTGAGGATTCACTATCACAAGAAAACATGGGGGAAAGTGCCCCCATGATTCAATTATCTCTCCCTAGTCTCACCCTTGAAATGTGGGGATTATTACAATTCAAGATGAAATTTTGGGTGGGGGCACAGCCAAACCATATTACAGACCAAAATTTAAGGTACCAGGGAAAGAAGTTTCACAAAACGATTCTTAAAAATCTTCAAATTGAGAGCAGAAGTGGTTGGGAAAGGGGTAGCTGTGTATTATACATAAGGGACCAAATCAAAGGAGTTTGAGAAACGTACCAGAAAATTGCACACAGTCTGTATTTGTACTCATGCTTTGTAAATTGAGGACATTGCCCTACCATGCTGAATGCTATGGTTTAAATGTGTCACCTTCAAATTTCAGGTGTTGCCAATATGATAGTATTAAGAGGTGGGCCCTTAAGAGGTAATTTGGTCATGAAGGTTCCTCCCCTTCCAAATGGCATTAGGTGCCCATTAGCTGCCCATTTAAAGGGCTTGATGGAGAAAGTTCATCCCTTTTTTGCCCTTCTGACTTGGCCATGTGAGTACATATTGTTCCTTCCCTCCAGAAGAGGTAGACTTCAAGACATCATCTTGGAAGCAGACACCAGATGCTAATGCCTTGATATTGGACTTTCTAGCCTGTATTGTGAGAAATAAATTTGTGTTGTTTTTAAATTGCCCAGTTTCAGGTATTTTATTATAGCAGCACAAAATAGACTAAGACACTGAGTCAAGAAGGAGGGACGGGACCCCAGCTAGCACCACAAAGAAAAACACAGTCAATAAATTATCCTAATATATTGGACTCTGTTCATTCATTCACTCATTGTTAATATTCATATTGAAGGCATAAGACAGAACCCCAGACAGAGAGTGACAGGGGTGGGAGGAAAGAGAAGATCAAGACCTTATCAGATGATAATGTGGAATCTGGGCAAAGAAATGAAGGATATAAGGGAGTGTGAGTGCGAGCCATGCGGGAATGTAGAGAAAATGCATACTGGCGAAGGAAACAGCAAATGAAAAAAAAAAAAAAAAAGTTGGGGCGAGGGGCAGTGAGAGAGTATACGTGGCATATTTGCAGAATAGCAAGGAAAATTATGTGTCTGGAGTACATTGAGAGAAATAAATAATGGTAGGATGTGAGGTCAAAGAGTTATTTCAGGGTCAAATCATGTGCTATCTTGTAGACCTTTATGAGGATTTTGGATTTTATTACGGTAAGATGAAAAGCTATATGAGGATTTTGAGTGGAAGAGTAACATGAACTGTCATAAGTATTAAAAAGATCACTCTGGCTACTATGTTTAAAATAGATTGTAGGGTTTGGAGCAAAAGCAGGGAGACTAGTTAATGGGCAGTTGTAATAATATAAGTGGGAGAGGATGGTGATTGGAGTAGGGTGGTGGTAGTGGCGGTGGTGACAGTGGTCAGATGATGGGTCTATATTGAAGGAAATGCTGTGCATTCCTTCCCTGCCTCCTATTGGCAATTGTGTCTTTATTCCATTCTTGGACAACCTCAGGATATTACAGCATAGGCTGCGAGAGAAGCCAGTCAAGAAAGCAACCTGAAAGAATTTGGAAGCTCCATCAAAGGCCCACACATAGATGCAGGCCACAGTCTTACCTCTCCAGATTTATCTGAATGGTGCACCAAGTTAAAAAAGTGTTTTGCAGCACCTCTACTCATGGGAAGAGAAACCCTTTTATACTGGATTAAAGTCTGTGATTACCAAAGGATAGCCTAGCTGCCCACCACGACACAAAGGACAAAGGCTTCCCTTCAACGCTCCAAATTCACCAAATGGTGTTCTAAGTTATCTTGCCTTTGTCCAAGATATCTATTGTATAAGGAATTAAATCATTCTCTTTGTTATATTCGAAACGATCACATACACTGGGACCTAATTTTGGACTTTCTAATCTGTGTTTTTCCTTAGCTCTGTCTATTCCTGCACCAGTATCTGTTTTTGTTTGTTTGTTTGTTTGTTTTTTAAGATGGAGTCTTGCTCTGTCGCCCAGACTGGAGTGCAGTGGCGCGATCACGGTTCACCCTTAGCTTCACCTCCAGGTTCACGCCATTCTCCTGCCTCAGCCTCCCGAGTAGCTGGGACTACAGGTGCCCGCCACCACGCCCAGCTAATTTTTTTGTTTGTTTTTAGTAGAGTCGGGGTTTCACAGTATTAGCCAGGATGGTCTCCATCTCCTGACCTCGTGATCCCCCAACCTCGGCTTCCTAAAGTCCTGGGAGGCGTGAGCCACCACACCCTGCCATATCTGTTTTAATTACTGTGATTTATATGGAAAATTCCCACCTCATGTTCTTTTTTGGCAGTTTCCTGGATATTCTTCCATATTTTTTTCCAAATAAAATATATGATTATTTTGTATTTAGTTTTTAAAAATTCTGTTGGGATTTTGATTGAGGTTGCATTGTAAAGATTAATTTAGGGAGAACTTCCATATTACAGTTTTGAGTAATCCTCAAGAACAAGGTATAGCTCTCCATTTATTTAAGGAGACTACTTTTCCTTGGAAGAAACATATGCCCATTTGGGATACAAATCTTACCTCTCACTTCAACTTATTTTCTCTTCATCAATGCCCTTATTTAGCAGAAAATCTTATTCTAATTCAACAGCTAATTAGAAAAATACAATTTAATTATAAAACCCCAAATTCTGTAAGTTGCATAACTATTTCTGAATTACAAAGATGCTAGACCTTCCTGGTACTTACAAGTCTTGTATGCTTTCTCCAGTCACAAATGGACTCAAGGGTTCCAGATGAAGTTACTGAATTCATCAAGAGGTGAATGTCCTGTTGGCCAGCTTGTAACCACTCTCCTGCTCTTTGAAGCTCTTTCAGGGCCGGCCCATTTAAGAGGCTAAAGGTCTTCTCTAGTTCCCCCACAAAACCAGAAGCCACCAGGAACTTCTATAGCTTTTACACCTCAAACTGCATATCTTGGATTAATCTTTCCACTTTGGATTGCTGCTGGAAAATTTCACCTAACCAGCATGGAGTTGAAGTCACTACAAATGTATGACCTCTAACTTCAGTTAGATCTTCAGCAACAAGTGTTTTATATTTTCCTCTCCTAGGAGAGTGGGACTAGAGACTCGAGATTCATGACACTACTGACTATTCTAAACTTTCACCACTCTTTTCAAGGTCTTTCTCTCTGTCTCAATAGATGATCTTGACCCCATTTTCATAGAGAACAGTGGTGCCATCAAATGTGTGTTTCTTATTTCCTTCCCCTCAAGCATGTATTTTTCTTTTCCTTCTGACTCCTGTCTTAGTAGGTGTTCTTCCTTTTGTCCAAAACAAATCCCTTTTCCTATGTATTGATCCTGTCCTTATCTGTCTCTTTCAGAATACTGCTGTCAAATTTTCCTCTTTCATTTATTCCCAAATTTCCTTCTCAAGGATCTCTTTTATTTCTGTATATAAATATTAGGTCTTTCCTATATTAAAAAGTCTCTCCTATGTTCTTCTATAAATAGCTGTTTTTAGATACCTTTATGGTAAACCTTTTAGATAATCATTAGCAACACGTCACTACCTGCATTCAGTCCTGTATTCACTGCCGTCTAGACTGAGGACACCTCAAGACACTACAGCATGTTTTTACCAAGGTCAACAATAACCTTCTAATTGCCAAAGACAGTGGACATGTTTCAGTTCTCAACTTGACCATGACATGGCATCTGACAATGCTGATGACTCTCTCCTTTAAGTTTTCTTCTTTGGTTCAACTTTTCTCCTTGGCTTCTCTCTACTTGTTATTTCAAAGCTACTTTGTGCTTTTCTTTTCCCCTTTTTTTTTTTGAGATGGAGTCTCACTCTGTTGCCTAGGCTGGAGTGCAGTGGCACAATCTTGGCTCAATCCAACCTCTGCCTCCCGAGTTCAAGTGATTCTTCTGCCTCAGCCTCCCAAGTAGCTGGGACTACAGGCGCGTGCCACCACGCCTGGCTAATTTTTGTATTTTTAGTAGAGACGGGGTTTCACCATATTGGCCAGGCTAATCTCGAACTCCTGACCTTGTGATCCACCTGCCTCGGCTTCCCAAAGTGCTGGGATCACAGGTGTGAGCCACTGCACCCAGCCTGCTTTGTGCTTTTCAAACCAATTATTTTCTTCATGGTGAAAAATCCTTCTTTTCTGTGCAAAAAAAAGAAAAAAAATCCAACTGCCCACATGAAAAAGCTCCATCTGAATGTGCCAAAGGCATCTCAAATTCAGTGTGTTACTGTGTTCAAAACTGAACTCATTATATTTTCCAACCAGCCTCCTTCTCCTAATGTATGCCTTCTCTTGAAAAATAACACCACCATTCTTTTATTGGTTGAGCTATTATCCTCAACCAATCTTTGACTCTATCCCGCTAGGTTCATTCACTCATTAAATCCTTCTGCACATACCTCTTAAAAGTCTGACCACATTTTTTTCCTTCTCCTCATTCCAACTGCTTCTGCCTTGGTTCAGGCCCTCATCACCTCACCTTAACTGGATGTCCTCCCTGTAGTCTGTCTTCCCTCAAGTCCATCCTCTGCACTACTGTGACAGCCTCCTGAAAGGTAAATCTGCTCATGCTTTACCCCTTTGGAAGCTATTCATGGTTTCCATGCTCTGACTCCTGCCTACCTCACATGCTCATCAACCACAGCCTCCACAGAGGACCCTAGGTTCAGGCCACAACTATCGTTCTCTGGAACTGAATGGGATGTTTCTGTACTTTGGCATGGGCTGTTTCCTCTCCCTAAAATGTCCTTTTCCCTTGGCTGTATGGCATACTCCAGACTTCCCTAAAGATTTAAATCAACACTCTTCTCTCTGAAGACTTTCATTCTCTCTGGTAGTATTATAAGCATTCTCTTTCTTGTGATTCTGGTTAAGGCTTGCACATACTCTACGTATAGCACTTGTCACACTGTAAAGCAGTGTTTACGGGCCTTTCTTCCCTACTAGGTTACATGTTCATTGAGGGCAGAAACTATGAACCTATCACAACTTCACTGCCTGGCACATGCTAGGTGTTAAAAAAAAAATTGTTTAATGGGTTAATTGTCATGCCACAGGCATATGGTATAATTTAAAGACATAATTGTTCTCCATGACCAGAGTACAATGATAGAGTATAAAGGACCATGTTTCTGTCTACCATGAGCGTTGGTTAGGGTGTTATTCTGAGAAAACTCATTTTTTTTTTTCTGCCCAGTAGAAGTCCTGTATGGGTCAAATTATTTCCTCGTTTGGGTATAAAAGGATCAGAATCCATCAGTTATCACTGATGGTCCAAATAAACCCCCTACACTCTCTAGACGAGCAGTGTCAGGTTTGGTCAGGGAGCATTAGGTTCTCCCAGCCCAGAACCTTAACTGGTGCAGTAAAGGCTGCATAGCTGGCTGTAGGCCATCCTCCCTTTCCTTCTCTTGAACTTTGTTCTGGTACCCTGACTGCCTCAATAAAGCCACCTCACTGTCTTTCACCATTATCATCACCATTGCACCATTACGGAGTTCCCTTGACCTCAACTTTGCTTCACTGGCGTCTTCCTCTTGGTATGGCTTGGAAGGAAAAAGAGGGGATCAAAGACTCCCGGGGCCCTGCTTACAGGTGATGTACGCCCGAAGGCCACCAGGTGACGGATTCTGACCTTATCAAGAGAGAGGATGGATTCCAGGGCAATCCGATTCAAGTCAGAGTCCACTCTGACTTCCCAATCCCTGTCTTGCAGCAGCAGGCAGGAAACCCTCTCCCGCCCCAGGCCTGGTGTGTACAGACTGCCTGTGGCGGTTGCCTCGGTAACCGGCTCTCCACCTCCGGCGACCTCCGGGTGGGGAGGGGGATAAAAGGGGCGGGGAAAGCGGAGGCTGACCCGGGTCTGCATCACGTGGTGGCGGCCTCCAACCAATCAGCGGAAGCAGGGGTCCAACCGGAAGAACCCCCGCTGGGGCTCCAGAGGAAACAGCGGGAGCCTCTCCCTCGCGGCTTCTCTGTAACTGCGCTTATCTTTTCACGCGCTTTCGCCAGTTCGCGGAACGTGACTGAAAGCAACGCGTTATGGGCAAGGTGGCGCAGACCTATTCCTTGCGTCCTCCAGTCTCGCGCTCTCTCACTGAATATCTTTGACTCTCGGGTCCTGGAAACCCAGAGCCTCTCTGACCTTGAGCCCCGAGGGCGTGGCGCTGTGATGTCACAAGGTGGCGTGACAGCCGAGAGGAGCCCCGACCCCCAGCGCGGCATCCTTCCCGCGGCCAAAGGTGGCTGACCGCAGCCGGAAGCCGCTGTGCGCCCGGCGAGCAGCGTGGAAGGACGGCGCCGGCAAACGAACGCCCAGTGCGGTCCGGAGAAGAGAGGGACCTTCCAAGGGTCTTCTCGTCTTTCTCGGACAGGCTTTTGAGTGCCTTTTAAGCATTCCAAAATGTTCAGGAGACAACAGTTATTTACAAAATAAAGTAGAATTAAAAGGGGGGAAAGGGGAGACTTTTCAGAGTGGGCAGAGAGGCTGAGAAATGAACTTAGTAAAAGGCAAACCAAAGCAACCGCAGGTCTCATGTCGTTCTCTAGATCTGCGCTGTCCAGTAGGATAAGCCGCTAACCACAGACTGGCGGGGCCCACGATCGCTTGAAATGTGGCTAGTCCAAATTGACATGTGCTGTAAGGTACGCATTGTATTTTGAAGGCTTAGTATGAAAAAAAAAAAAAACTTTCGTTATTAATCTTCATATTGATTATATGTTGAAATATTTTTGATACTTTGGGCTAAATAAAAAATATTGTTAAAATTATTGTTTCTATTTTGAAAATGAGGCTGTTAGAAAAATTTTTAATTGCATGTATGACTTGAATTATGTTTCTTTTGGACAGTGTTGCTCTCTTTTATGTGGTTCAGTCGGTTTGTGTAGAATAGTGATGTTCAGTTAATGCAAAATATTGTCTGTAGTGCTCTTTTCTGTCACCAGATGGCCACCTCATTAAATAGACTATAATTCTGAACTGCTTTCCCAAGAAAAAGTTCAGATTTTAGAAATATTCTCATTTAACAATTGTCAACAATTTCAGCATATTTACCCTTATTCAGTTAACTTTATCTGTAACATAGACCGTTCATAAAGATACATAAACATAGAAAAATTAACTGGTTTTCCTCTACATTCTTATTTCACAGAAAATTGTTTCTGTCATTAATAGATAATTAGAAATAAGCTAATTAAAATTATTTGTGGCTTAAGGGTTTCAAACTAATGCCAGAAAAGTCAGATTCATAGTTTTTACTTTTACTATTATCTTCTCTGAAATGTAGTTGAATAAGGTGACCTGCTTTGGGAGAATTTTCTTCATAAAGACGAATTAGAACATACTAGTTGAGATTTCTACAATTTTAGACATAGAAATTTGATCAGAAACCAGTTGAGTGTATTATCTACACTGTTTCTTATTTCGAGGGGTCCAGCTCTTGGATGAAAGTATAGACATTATCAAAGAATATTTTTAGAAATCTACTGGGATTTTCCTGAGCAGTAAAAGACTAGGAGAGAGGTAACAGTTTTCTTTACATTATATAAACAAGTAATTTTAAGATTGTTATTATTCTAGGTAAAGTTCAAGGATTTGGCCGGTCAGCAATTGAGTCTGAGTTCTTGTATAACGGTAGACTTAATAACCATTGGTGACTTGCCAAAAGAAAGCCTTTGTCCACAGGGTAAGTCTTAAAAGAATCGCCTGTTGTTCACATATTCGAAATGTTATTTGATGCAAAAGATGCTTACAGTTAACAGCCATAGAAGCAATGCAAAAAGAGTGATCATTTTTGTTAATCTCCTTTTGTCACTTTAAAGTAGTTTTATCATAAGGTTTTATGTCTGAACAAAAAACGATGGAAATTGAAACTACTAAAGAGTCAAGCAAATTAAGTAATCATCTGATTGAAATAAGACTTCATTTCATTCACCTCTGATCATACTCCTAGACAAAAGCCAAGCCATATTAATTTAAATCTGTTTATTTATGGTAAAGGCATATTGAAGCTAAAAACAATTGGAAAGAGATATTATACCACTAGTTATAGCAAATTTACTATATCATATCCTGAATTAAAGAATCATTTATTTTAACGAAATAGAGGTGACTTTGCAGACCCAAATAAGAAAATCTTGAATTACATAGTTATTTGTTAATTATAACCTTTTAAATAGATTGTTAAATTTGTTTTTCAAAACAGCCCTATCCTTATTGGTAGAGAACTATGGAGAAATCTAATTTCAATTCTCCCTTTTAATAGTGCCTTTACTTCCAGAGAACCAAGTCTGGAGGTTTTAAATGCTAATTCAATTTTTGTATTTGTGTAGACATTTTATCCTTATGTAAATGAGTCCTTTCCAGCTAATGATTTTATCTGTAAAATTTTACTGTTTCACATTTAAATTTGATATATCATAAAAATCACAAATGCAGCACTACTTAGGGTTTACTTTGGCACTGGAAGAAATAATTATGTGGTGCTTATAAAGTCATCAACAGAGCCCCTGTTGTTATTGATGCCTAGCAGCGAATATGTATTAAGATCCAATTAAAAGTTAGGGGTTGTTCTGAAGTAAAGTTTTAATTAGACCAACAGAATGCTATTTCTACTGGGTCTATCTAAAAATGCTAAATAGCCTTTGTCCCTGGTTTGCTGATATATAATTAATGGACAAGCTTTTCTTAAAAGGCAGCCAGAATGGAATTTTAAGAAGGCATTTTGGCTGTTTCAGATACATTTGTATTTAGCTGTAAGGCAACAAATTGAGGATAATAAATTTAAGCGAGGATGGTAGTCTTAATTCCTTGGAGAGCTCACCGGTTCTTTGTGTCGGAGAAGTCTTTCCTCTCTTCCTCTTTTACTTTCTCTCCTTTAGACCTTAGGCTTATAACGTTGATTATATTTCTCAGGTTGAAGCACATCATCATCACCGGTCTATACAAGAGCGTTCTCTTATTTCTTCTCCAGTTTTTTTTATCCAGCCCCCACCCTTATCCCAACCATATTTAATGTTTCTTACATACTTTTAGTTATGTATTTATCTTTGAAAATCAGGCAGTGTTATTTGTGTGTCTATTTTTAATTTTCATAAGTGGTATCATGCTATAAATTTTTTTCTGATCCTTTTTTATTCCATGCTATTTTAAGATCTATCCATGTTTTTATATATTCATCTAGTTCATAGATTCCTATTGTCAGCTATGAGAGCTAGCTGGGATGCCAGTAGGAATATAGCACATTTTCCACTGTGTACTCTAGCTCCGTGTCTCTGTTGCTTGAGGTGAAGGGTAGAGCTAAATGGAGGGAATAAGTGGAAGCAGAATGCCACAGGACTGATTACCTTTAGATGGCTCTAGAAAGTAATCTTCAGGGTGTTTTGTTTTTGTTTTTGTTTTGTTTTGTTTTGTTGGCATGCAAGAATGGTGTATATGTTGAAAGGTTGTCAAGTCATTAGTTAGGGTCTCCTGAGAAGTAGATAAGATTAGATTTGCAAAAGATATAGTGGGCAAAGAAGCAGAAGGTAGGAAGAGTCTTCAGACCACAGTGCAAATCTGATACCTGAGAAAGGAGAGAAGGAAGGAAGGATTGGATAGAGAGAACCTCAGACTATGGTGCAGTTCAAAGAAATGTTCTGCCAGGTTGGTGGGGAACCCTTGAGCCAAAGTCACCTGTTGGAGGAGTTCTGCATCTAACTTGTATTGTGTTTCCTTAGTGTCCATTGTCAGTCACCGAATGCTTTGCTCTGCTCCCTGACACATTGGAAGCTGTCCCAGAGATCTTCCCTGTACAGATCAAAGCAAAGAGTTTGCCTTTTGATTCACGGGAGCAATATATGTGGAGGCTATATTTTCTGTTTTCTGTGCAGTGCTTTGTTTTAGGGGAAGGAATTAGTGAATCGATATGATGAGATAGATGGATTAGTCAGTTGTCATTAGGAAATGTAGCAAAAGAAATATGCATCCAGGTTAGTATATTCTGTCTGACAGTTGACCTGTGGATGATGAGCAGCAAACAGGTCATTACAAATATGGAAAAGTTTGAACAAGTGCTTCTTCAAATAAAAAAAAATGAAGGCCATAATTAGAAATAAAGTGTAACTTATGGAGGAAGAATACGTTTTTAAGACAGGCAATAGTTGGGATAGATGAAGTTTGGTTTAAGTAATAAATGCACTATCCTGTGAGGGAATCAAACAGTTTAACAATATATTGGCATCTTGGGAAGGGACTAGGAGCATTATACAATTAATAATGATCATTTTAAGCCTGGGCAACGTAGTGACATCCTATCTCTAACAAAATGAAATACAAAAATGAGCCAGGTATGTTTGCACGTGCCTGTGGTCCCAGCTACTCAGGAAGGCTGACGCGGGTGGATCACTTGAGCCCAGGAGTTTGAGGTTACAGTGAGCTGTGATTATGCCACTGCACTTCAGCCTGAGCAACAAAGCAATACCCTGTTTCTAAAAAACAAACAAAACAATAATCATCTTAAAGGAGCATTTGGGAGTTGAGAAGGAATATGTTTTATTCCATTTGAGTTGCTATAACAAAATATCATAGACTGGGTAGCTTAAAAACAACAGACATTTTCTCACACTTCTGGAGGCTGGGAAGTCCAAAATCAGAGTGCCAGCCTGGTCACAGATTCTTGTGAGGGCCCTCTCCTGAGTTGCAGACTGCTGACTTCTTTCTGTGTTTTCACCTAGGAGAAAGGGTAAATGTGCTCCTTTGGGCCTCTTTTATGAGGGCACTAATCCCTGTGGAAGGTTCTGCCCTCATGATCTAATTGCCTCCCGAAACACCCCACCTTATAATCACCTGGGGGGTTAGTATTGCAACATATGAATTTGGGGGAGACACAAATATTCAGCCCATAGCATTCCACCCCTGACCCTCCAAAATTTATGTCCTTCTTACATGCAAAATACATTCATTCCATCCCCCAAACCCCCAGAGTCTTAACTCACTCTAGCATCAATTTAAATCTAAAGTCCAGAGACTCATTTAAGTATCTAAATCAGAGATGGGTGAGACTCAAGGTATATTTCATCCTGAGACAAATTTCTCTCCAGTTGTGAATCTGTTAAATCAAGCAAGCTATGTGCTTTCAAAATGTAACAAGACGGACTAGAATAGATGTTCCCATTGCAAAAGGGAGAAATATGAA